AATCCAGAGAGTTTCTGATTGCTGTTCTTTTTGGGGGTGGGACCAGCCGAGCCTGATTGCCTGGCTCCCTGCCTCAGAGCCTTTTTTTTTTTTAAGTTGGTGTTCCAGTCACCTGTTGAAGAGGCACCAGGATCTGTGTGTTTTCCCGGGCGGCGACTCACTGCTCTGGCTTAAAACAGCGGCACTGAGATTCATGGCGCTTTTTTTGCCCTGGAATCTACTGTCCTGGTTCCCTGTTCAGTCCCCTTTTTAAACAGATGAATGGGTGACTTCCCGTGGCTCCAATCGCCAGCCAAAAGGGCACCTGGACTAGTGTATTTTGTACAGAAAACTGCTGCTCCCGAGAGCCAACAAAGCGGCCACGTGGGGCAAAGCAGCGGCGCCGGCTGACACAGCTGAAACAGCCACGCTGGCGACCCCTGGAGCTCCTCCATCTGGGAATTTCCTAGTCTGTGGGCAATAAAAATGTGGTGTCCACTCACCCTCTGTGCTTTCACTGGGAGCTGCAATCCTGAGCTGTTCCTAAATGGCCATCTTATGACCTCCAGTTTGGTTTTCTTAAATCAAATATTTTAGGTTCCTGCTTTGGGCAAAACATTGTGCTGGAGAATTAAGTGGCTGGATTCTTGACTCTTACACCTTTAAAGATCTTCAGGAATCCCTCAAAATCTAGCCAATTTTTTTTCCATTAAAAGTAGCCTGGATATTTTCAACTTCCACTAAATATTGAACCTCTCAAACCTAGTTCTAGACCCAGCTCTCCTCTCATCCTCTCTCAAGATTTTAGTTACTGTCTAATGCCTCTGTCTCCCACAGGTGTACCTAGCCCACTCTTCTGATTTGTGCTCTAGACTTATATCCCACATTAAATCTCCACTTGGATATAGACGGTACCCCAAATTTAGTATGTTCAGCTCATCCTGGGAGTGCCATCTCAGCAAAGTTACCACCACCCAGCCAGCTCCATGACACTTCTACTCGCTCCATTCTCTATGTCTGGTCCAGCACTACATTACACTGATTTTATTCATTAACTATCTTTTAAATCCACACACTCCTCTCGTTTTCCATAGCCACCACTCTAGTCTAAGTTAGCATGATCTCTGGCTTGCATGACTGCAGTAGATTTCTCACTGCCTTCTTCCTCACTGGCTCCTCTCCAGCATCCTCTTTTTCAAAATGTGAATCTGATCAGGTTGCCCCCTTTACATAAGAGCTTCTCATTGCTCTTAGCAAAAATCCAGAATCCTTAGTGTGGCCTCCAAGGCCTGCGTGGCTCCCTTGTTCCTGCCATGGGGCCTAGAATAATCTTCATGTGACTTCTTTATACAGTTAACTTCTGGCTGCTTTTTAGATCGTACCTGAAAAGAAACTCCCACCGGAAAGCTTCCCCTATCCCTTAAACTGTCATAGTACGTGGTGCTTGTCCTTCTTAGCGTTTAGCATAACTTGCAGCTGCACATTTACTTGTATGACCATTGATCAATGTCCACTCCCCACAGGACTGTAAGGCCCATAAGAAAAAGGGTGGTCTTTGTTTTGCTCTCCAGTGTATTCTATTGCAAAGGTGGGAAGAGGCTTTGTCCTGAAGGAGCTCCAAAGCAAAGTTAGGCTATATAATTGAATGTACACTCTGGGAAAATCATCTTGGATGAAGTGTAGAGAAAGATAGACAAATACTCCCAATTCAGAAATGAGGCAGAGTCCCAGTAACTGCAGGTCAATACTGTTCTTTCTTTCTTCTAATTCTTTGTTCTCTCCTCTCTGAATACATTGAGGAGTGTGTTCCCCATAGACCCTCTCAGACAAATGCTTGAATGTCATCTGTTTATTTATTTGAACAATATGGATTACGTTCCTAAGTACAGGCTTGATAGTAGGAATAGTAAAATGGAAGTGGTCCAGGCTCAAATGCGTATCTCCAACCTGCACCTCCCACTCTAGTGGGAGGATATAATCCAGTGTGGAAAGTGCTACAATGGGAGTCTGAATGAAGTTCTAGAACTCAAAGGAGGTTATGACTAAAATACTCCCTTGGAAGAGCCAGAAAAATGCCTCAAAGAGGAGGTAGTTTTTGTACTGATAGAAATGATAAGAGTTTTGTTCAGTAAAGACAGGTGAGGGGGCATTGTAAGTGACTGGGACAGGATGCGCAGAGGCTCAGATCTGTGAAAGGACTTGGCCTATTGTGGAATGGTTTATCCCTAGATGTGTGGGGATGGGGCTAGGGAAGGTGTTAAGAAGAAAGGAAGAGAGAGAGGTATGCTGAGGTCATACTGTAAAAGGCCAGGTGTTCTGAACTCAGAAGTATGAATGTCATACTGTGGGCTGCCAGCAGTCACCGGACCACTCTCAATGACTCTGGATTAAAAACCAGAGGAAATAAGTTACATTAAAGCTCAAATGGTATATTAGCAGTGACTAAGCCAGTGAGAGTAATCATCATCTGAACCCAAGGAACACGAGAGGCCTGCCCCAGAAGACCCAGTTGTGAGCCTGGCCACACCCTTGTGCAGGCACTGCCATGAAAACTGTCTGGATTTGTGTTTTGCAGTTCCATGGAAAGTGGGAGACCACCTGATCCTGCAGACTGGGCTGTGATGGATGTCGTCAATTATTTCCGAACCGTGGGATTTGAGGAGCAAGCTAGTGCTTTTCAGGAACAGGTAACTTGGTCTAGAGAAACACATTATGAACATGTGATGAACCCACAGTTACCTCCTTTCCCGACAGTGGGCAGAAGGGAGTGAGGAGGAAGAGGACCAAAGAGCAGGGAGGGATCAATGAGGTGCTGAGAAACTGAGGGGAAGGAGAATGGATGTATCAGGTGAATTATGCCTTCATGCAAGGGGAAAACTCAAAGCCGGAGACAGTGGCAGCCATGGAGAGGAAGGCTAAAGTTCATTAACATCTGTCCTCTGAAAGACTCAGGGGTGGAGTGAATCAGCCCTACCTTCAATACAAACACACTAGAAGGGTGCAGAAACAGAAGAGAAAGGAAAGGCAGGGACAAACCTGACCAAGAGACGTGCGGTGCCTTCTACTATCCTAGGCACCCAGTGAACTATTAAGCTCTCCGCTGTTTGCTTTCTGGGTGCTTAGCAAGGTAGAGCAGAAAGAGCACCAGATTGTAGGTCGAATCCTGGTTCTTCTACCTCTCTGTGACCCTAGGCACATTATTATGTCTCTCAGTCTTGGTTTCACATCTATAATATCAGACTGTCAATAACTTTATAGGGATGTTGTTGTGATGATTAAAAGACAATATATGCACAATTTATCATAGGTTCTGGCACAATGTTAATGCTCAAAAAACGGGATTTCCTTTCCCTTAGGTCCAGGGTTGGTATCAGAGGGAGGAAGGGGCAGGAATTCGTCCTAATGGGCTAGGTGATTCACAGCTCCATGCTACAGGCTATGCCAGGTCTGTAGGGGTGGTCCTCAAGGGGCTTTGACCTGAGGAGGCAAATGGGGACAGCACAGTGTGGTTCACACCGGGCCAGTTCTGTGGGTAAACACAGAGTTCCTATTTCTCTATCAATGAAGCCTGCAGTTTTCTAAGCATTACATTTGCTTTTCTAGTATCATAATATTGTCGGGAGAAGCAAAAACTGAAAAATGTGTCTTGCTGCTTGTTTCATATCCCTTCAGCCATTTTTATTCTCTTAAGCGATTAGTTGTATGGCCTGATTTGGATAAGGTAAACTTTTCTAATATTGCACATGCCAGTTTCTAGATTTCTTTCAAGCCATATTTACTTCAGACTTGATCTTTGTAGGTATGTATTTTTTTTCTAATTTAGAAAACTTGCTAAAATAGCAGCTTAAATTACTTTGCATCCACCGGAAGAGCTAAAATGAGAAAGATTGATAACACTAAACATTCACGAGGGTGTGGAGCAACTGGAACTCTTTCATTGTTGGTGAGAATGTGAAATAAACATTCAGACATCTACCCCATGATGCAGCAATTTCACTCCTGGGTATTTACCTAAGGGACATGAAAACACATGTCTGTAAAACGACTTGTACAAAATTGTTCTTAACAGCTTTATCACAATGGTCAAAAATTTGAAGCCTAGGTCTACATCCATAGGGGAATGAATATACAAACTGTGGCATATTCATACAATGGAAATACTCCACAGTAATAAAAGGGAATGAACTACTGTTATGTACAACCATTTGGATGAGTCTCAAAAACATAATACTGAATGAGAGAAACCTTACATAGCTGAGTTCATACTGAATGGTTCCATTTAGATTAAGTTTCAGAACAGAAAAATGAATCAGTGGTAAAAAACAATCAGCTGCCTCTGGCTGGGTGGGGGTGGAGAATGACTCGGAAGGAGTATGAGGGAACTTTCAGGGTGATGGTAACATTCTGATTCTTGATATAGGCTCAGGTTACAGGTATGCATGGGCCACTGCTTGCTTTACACAGGCATAACAGAGAACAAATTTGAACAGCCACTTCCTTCAACTCTCGTCAGGAAAGCTTTGCCCTGCAACTTGACAGAAGCAGGCAGGGTTGGGGAGCATCCCTAAACCACCTTTGAAAAGGGCAAGTCCCGAAAGGGCAGCATGGTTGCCCTTGATGTGGGGGAGGAAGAATACTGCTATATACAACTCAATTTAAAATGCATTAAAAATATGGGTTGGCAATTAAATAGAAGGGTGACTACGTGGACATATATGTGATAAAGCAAGTACAGAAAATGTTAATTGTAGCATCTAGGTGTTCAGAATATGGGTATTTACTCTAAAACTCTGATGCGTTTTCTTTATGTTTGAAAAAATTTTATGAATAATTGTGATGAAAAGAACCGCTCAGGTTGGAAAGTGGAAGGAAGGCCGCTGATCAGCTGGAACATACTTTGTTTTTCACCGGTACAATGTCCATTTGTGTCATTGCAATTGAATAGCTCTCTTCTAAAATTAAATTTAAGTGATATTGTAAATGATTATCAAAAACATACTTAGCTAAAAGGTCTCTTGGCCAGATTCCCAGCTGACCAAAGCCCTTTGTAGGTTGAGCTTTTGCTGAGACTCATTGGAGGCAGACATCCCAGACTGAGGGCACCCAATGGTCTCTAGACCTTCCAGATCCTGTGAGATACCTCGGAAATTGGACTGCCAGCTATGAGCCTGGCCCATCAGCAGGCCCTTTCTCTCATGGATGACCTCATTCTGGCACCATGGACACTGGGAAGCATAATGGGAATAAACTCTTCTAATGCATTTCATTCAGAAATCCTTCAAGGGAGAAGTGAGCATTGCCTTGCTGCCATGTTCAGTCTGCCAATTCAGAAACGAAGGATCAGAGTTTTGCTAGCATGATCCAAAAGCTTGAGTTTCTTCATTTTCATGGAAGGGTGATTGAGTGGGGAAAGTGTCTGCCTTGAATTTGACTCTGGCAGTGATTCAAACCTCGTTTCTCCTTTTCCCATTAAAGGAGGTAGAGGGCAGGGAGGGCCAGGCTTTGGCTGGTAAGATAAGTCGCTGCTGTGTATTCGTGAGAACTGAGGATTGGATCCTCTGCCATGTTAACTTCTTCTTCCATCATCACACTACAGAGGCCATCAGCATTTTACCTCTGGAGTCTTCCTGGCAATGAACCCAGTCGGTTAGCACCCACTCATCATCCTGATGGGAAGACTGCAGGCCATCTCCAGCCCAAGCACATGACCCTTCCAAGGTACATCTTCTAGATCACAGCAGCTGAGAAACATTTAGAACAGCTGCTTCCTAAAACTCTCTGCAGGAAAGCTTTGCCCTGCAACTTGACAGAAACAGAGCAGGGATGGAGAGCATCCCCTAAACCACCTTTGAAAAGGGCAAGTCCCGAAAGGGCAGCACGGTTGCCCGTGATGTGGGTAGCTTATTGTTTCATGGCTGGCTATTGTGGGCTGAATGTTTGTGTCCCCTCAAAACTCTTATGTTGAAAACCTAACCCACAGTGTGAGGATATTAGGAGGTAGGATCTTTGGCAGGTAACTAAGTTTAGATGAGGTCATGAGGATCGAGCCCCCATGATGGGATCAGTGCCCTTATAAGAGGAGAACAAGACACCAGAGAGCTTACTCTCAGGTGTGAGGATACAGCAAGAAGACCATCTCTATAAGACAGGAAGAGAGCCCTCACCAAGAACCCAGCCATGCTGGCACCCCTGTCTTGGACTTCCAGCTTCTAGAACTGTGAGAAATAGCTGTCATTTATGCTGCCCAGTATACAGTATCTTGTTCCGGCAGCCTGAATTGACTAAAATACTGATATTATGGCAAACATGTCCGCCATCAGTTGGCCTGACTTCCAGGAGAGTATCTGTCTTTGTGGTATGGTCTCATAGCACAGTACTGGAAACTGTATGGCTGCAGCAACCAGACTCTGATGTGGCTTTCTAGCAACATGACCTCTGGGGAAGATATGAGGCCACTGAGCAAGATTTGTCAGAGGGCAAGATTTATCTTGTGTTTCTGTGGTATGGAGAAGCAGCTGGATTATGCTGATGGTCTTTACCTAACCTCCCTTTCTCTGTGCAGGCACCCCGCTGCCACAGAACAATGACCTTCATTAAGTTTTCCTCTGCTGTAATTATCTTCATCAAATTTTCTTCTGGCAGTCCTCTTTGGAGCCTTCTGTGTTAGTCACAATTACTAGTCAAAATAATTATCAAGAGTGAAGGCCTGAGCCCCTGCCTAGCCCATCACGAATAGCCCAGTGTCAACAGGATGTATATTTTGGACAGCGATGTTGCTGCTCCTTGGGTTGGCATGTGTTTTGTGTCGTCAGGATTGCAGTTGTTCACCGTGTAGGGAGTCTGGCCCACTGGACTCATTCAGCTAGCACTCCAGAGGGTTCACCAGCCTATGAGAGCAGCAGGCAGTGGGAGCCCTGGAGAGGGCAGTGATTACAGCCTTGTCAGTACCATGTCTCTTTCCCACAGACACTGTGGTATGGTGGCTATTTTCCCAAGTGCCTTCTAGCAGACAAACATTTTAGGCTGTGGTGAAGGGAATTAGTGAAAGTCATGACTTCTGATATGTTTTCTTCCAGTTGATTTATGGTTACTGGGTGGTCCTGGAGAATTTGCCTTTCTAGGACTCAGATTTCTATAAAGTGAATTAAACAGAATACTGAGTTAAAAAAGCAGACTACTATGCAAGCTCCTGCTTTAAGAGTCAAAATATGTCATCTTGGAATTGGTCCTCAAGAAGTATGCTTTCAGGTACAACACAGGGCACAAAATCACTTGAGACACAGTTGAGCTTTTGTGAATAGATTTTTCTTTTTTAAATGGCATTTTTCCATGGATATGGGCTGCTTGGCTTTCAGGAGTCTAAGGTACCTCAGGAATTTTACTTTGATAAGAGCTTTGGTTTTTAAGAGACTATTTTGACTAATCTTTCACAAGCATCACTCCCTTCCTGACAGAGGACATTTAGGATAAAGTTTACTTTGTCAAACTATAAAGCCTAAATGAGCAGCATTCTCTGTTGTAAAGCCATCTATGGGCAATGCATTTAGTTGCCATTTAAGGAACTCTGCAGTCTAGTAAGAAACTTCACCACTCAAATTGGACCCTAAATTCAAGTCACAATTGCAATACAGCTCTGCCTGTTGTGGTGTAGTCACTTCATTTCTATGTCTTTGTCTGTTTGACTCAC